GTAAAAACGATTTAAAACGGAGAAATTCAATGGTAAACACGTTTAAAGGGGTTTAAACGGTATAAACGCTTGATAGACGCGTTTAAACGCAGTTTTGACCGTTCATTGTCTGCCTGGGTAGACAGTGAATCACTTTGTGTATTAATAACAAAAAAAATTGATAAAAAAATAATTGTAATATACAAACGAATGTACGAATCAATCATTAGAATATAAAATATGTTTTCTGCAAAAGAAAGCAATTGTAAAAGATTGTGTCCATACAGTTAAAGTTCTATTAAACATGGTTTTGACAGTCTATTATCAAAGAATCATGTCACTAGCTTGATCATTCAGTAAAGAGAAAAGAAAAAAACCGAACGATCTTAACCCAATTAAATCGATACTAGTATATGTCATGCAGAGATAGATTAGTGAAGACGCTTGATGGATCGCTAAGTATTTCGTTCTTTAGGAGTTGATAGCTATCAAATAGCATCAGAGAGAATATCAATATTGCAACACATGAACTCATTGAGTCCTGTTGCAATCCCAGAAGAAGCTTCAGGGTGTGGGTGTTGGTTTGGATACTCTTGTCATGGAAGTTAGGATCTTACTCACCAACACCTCACACCCACACCCAATGTTATAACAAATCTAAATAAAAGCAAAATAATTTAATGTTATAAATTCATACTTACTACTGAATCAGTTGTCGGATCAACTTTAAACAAAAAATTAATTATTTTATTTTATAATTTCATACTTACAATTGAATCAGCCCATTGGACTGTATCTAAACAAAGAAAGATATAATTGAAGATTATAAATCAATACTTACGATCGAGTGAGCTGTTGAACTTAATCTAAATAAAAAAAAATGCAAAATAATTAGTTAAAGTTTAGCTCAAAAACGCGTTTTTAAAAAAAAAGCATTCCTGCATTAAAACGCGTATGACATTACGAACGCGTTAAAATCAGTAGAAACTATAAAAAAAGCTAGTAAAAACGCGTAAATTTAGAAAAATGTTTACGCATTTTAACGTGTTCATCGTCCTTAACGCGTTTATATGCGTGAAAAATTCGTAAAAACGCCATTTTTACGAATTTCTATCGTAAAACCGCCGTTTTTACGAAATTTTAACGCGTGTTAATGCGTTTTTTGAAGGTCATGCCTGCCTGGATATTACCTTCTATTTAGGAAATTCTTATAGGTAGCATACTAGTAATAAAGAAAAGTTCGACACAGACTTTTAAACAAAGATTATTCTAGGTTGTTTGTACAGTCCGTTTATTCGATGATTCATACAATGTCTATCTATTTCTTTTCTATCGTCGAATTTTTGTTTCTATATTCTATCATACATTCACGTGTTATCGATTAAAAACAGTCTTCTTGATTACTTTTTAGATATTTTTATATTCGTCTTAACATGAACCAAATCAAACGACAACAAGATAATATTATTCATGATAATGATAATCCCAAAATTAAAAAATTACGAGGTAAAGCTAATAAATTATTTATAAATTTATTGAATTAGTTTTTTTTTCTTCTTAGTATTAACAGCCGATACAAGAAAGTTAGTAAAGAAGTTTATTTTTATGTTAATCTATAGAGTGATCGACAAGTCACCGGGCTCTTTTTAACTGCTAATAACTGTTCAGTAGTACATCTATGTTTATTTTATTTTATTTAAATCTTCTACTTAAATATCCTGTTTACTTTCTGAAAAGAGTATTGCATGTTGACAGAGTGAAAAAACATTTAAGTCAAAGATTCGAAAGAAATAAAATAAAATGAAATTAGATATGATACGAAAAAAGTGCCGGATGACTTTTGGACCACCCGGTATTTTTTTTTTCTATCATTTACTTAAGGACTTATTTCGAAGATTTATCAAATGATTTAATGTATGAAATCTTTGATTATCTCAATGAATATGATATTTATGAATCATTTTATGATCTTAATCAACGTTTTAAAAGTCTTCTTATTGAATCAAATTTGCCAATTAAAATCAAATTTCCATCTATATCAAAATTAAATTTATATCACTATTATCGTCGAATAGTTATTCCAAACAAACATCGAATAACTTTACTTCATTTAACAAATCCATTTACACTTGATCTTATTTTTTCATCATCATTTTTCATTTTAAAATTCACTCGACTTCAAACACTTATTTTTGATAATATGCAAGCAAAATATCTTGAAGATATGGTCGATAATATTATTCCTTATCATTTACCGAATCTCTCTTCATTAATCATTCATGTTGTTGATCAAATTCAATTTCCAAGCTTTTTTTATAGTGAAATTTTTTCTTTATCAACTTTAAGTTATTGTAAAATTACATGTGAAATAAAAAAGGATTCTAGATTATCGTTACTTATTGATGATGACGACGATGATGATGATGGTGGTAATAAATACAGTCCTATTGAAACTCTTATTATTAATGACCATTTTTGTCTTGAGGAAATGAAAGATATTCTATCTTATTTTCCTAATCTTCATCGTTTATCAATTGGTTATCTTGATGAATTTCGTAATAAACAACTAAAAATCGATCCAATCAATTTAAAGGCTTTAACAGAGTTTAATCGTAAACTGGAATTTCTGTATTTTAATTAATTTTAG